TGTGGAGCCGTGTGTTGACGCTGGATTTTTAAGAAGCACCCATCATCTATACTTACTAATATTAAACTCATAATGTGATACCAACAAATTTATTTTGTTCTTACTTCGACCGTTGGTAATGAATATTCATCAGCAATGTCTGTAGCCACTGAAGGATAGTGCAAATAAGAACCTGTTATGCGGAGGTGGAGAAAGACAAAATATTTTAATGCGCCAACTAAACAACCTAAAGTATCTTCTTGCAAGCTTCAAATGATGAACATCCGAAATCTTTGATTACCGGCCGCTGCTTCTTCTAGGTCATAGGATTCAACGATATTGTGTAAGCTGGTGAAGTAAATATACTAGCAGGTGCAAAAATCCGTGCCCTAAGTGCTTGACTGTCGTGTTGCTGTATGGGATAAGCTGCTTATGTGCTCAAAAGATAACAAACCCTCTGACACCTTATCACAAAACTGCACATATTCTGCTCGCATTACCAGAAAATATAAATTTAACATCTACACAACCGTGAGTGTATGCGTGTGTATATGAGCGCTTGCGTCTGTACTGTGTTCAGAAAAAAAAAACATCTACACAGCCCCAGGGTCCAAAATTCTATCAACGGGAATCAAATTCCCGGCACAGGTTGGGTGATAGCCACCAAATGCGCACCCCCGCCCTCGGTAGTGGACCGGCACATATTGTTTGTTCTGTGTTTGTGGTTTCCATCGATTTCACCCGCTGGTTTTTCGTTTTATCTATGTGTTTTTCTTCCTGTTTTTCTAGTTTCCTTTATTTTGTTTTTCCTAATCCTTTTTTAACTTAGATTTTTTTTCTTTTTCTTGTTTCGAGAACTTCTAAAATTTGGATTAGTTTTTGAAATTGATGAATTGTTTTAAATGTTAGCAATAATTTCTGAAATTCATGCACATTTTTTAAATTCAAGAAATTTAATTAAAAACTGGGAGTAATTTATGGAATTTATTAAGTTCTTTAAATTACTGATAATATTTCTTGAAATTCATGATTTTTTTTAAATGAGATCATTTTGAATGGCGAATATATTTTGAAATATTGGAACTAATTTTAAAATTCATGAATTGTTTTTGAATTTGTGAAAACTCTAAGAAATTCAGAACAAAACTAATAATACTTTAAGATTATTTTAAATTCGTGGCCATTTTTTAAAATTCCAAAATATTATCGAAATTTGTGCACACATTTTATTTCATGAAACCTTTTGAATTGGTCAAGAAAAATAAAACTTTGGAATTTGGTTTCGATTTCACAAAGTTTTTTTAATTGACAAACATTTTTTTAAATTCATGAAGAATTTTTTGAAATTCGGTTCTTTCTTAAATTTGTGAATATTTTTTAAATTAATTTTTTTAAACGTACTCCCTCTGTTCCTAAATATAAGTCTTTTTAGTGGTTTCAAATGAACTACAACATACGGATGTATATAGACATATTTTAGAGTGTAGATTCACTCATTTTACTCTGTATGTAGTCACTTGTTGAAATCTCTAAAAAGACTTATATTTAGGAACGGAGGGAGTACATACTTTGAAATTCAAGAATATTTTCAAAATTAATGAATATTTTTCGTATTCATGAATATTTTTCATATTATTATAAATTTATGAACATTTTTAGAAATCTTAGGACATATTCCAAATTCATAAACATTTTTCGAAACTGGAAAGGCCTTGCTGGTGGTGGTGGTGTTGGCCGGGGTGTGGACGCATCATTGCGGTCAGATGCGGGCCTACCTCTCATGTAGGCGGCCCTCTGCTCCAGCGGTGCCCACCTCCCTCGTGTTGCGGTGGCGGCTCAAGAATGGTGTTTGTTGAGGCAACGTTGGTTGAATCCGGGCGGCGCGTCGGCCTGGTGGCATGGTGGGACTATACAGGCGCTGCTTCGGCTCCAGTCGCCTCTGGATCTGCGTTCTCTTCCAGTGTGTGTGGCTTGGCGGTGTCCCTTTGCTGGTAGAACTCCGGTCTCGGCGATTCGGTAGCAGCGTTCCTTCCAGCTCCATCGGCTTGTCGACGTCCGGACGGCTATGGACCCGCAACTTGGATCTATGCCTCTCTCCAGTCTAAGTTTACTAGGGTCATATTACCATCGCTTCCCCCGTGCCGGTCCTCTTTGCCTCGCTGCACCCTCGACCATGTACACCTCCATGCCTTGCATGGTGCCAGATTCTAAGCATGTGTCCAGTGGCGCCAGGTGACACCTTCCGGCGGCAAGTGCGGCTCCACCGCTCCACCAACCCTTTTGATACATTTCAGATTGCGGACCCGGGGCTATGGGATTGTTTAGTGACAGGTCAGAGAGAAAATCTCTGCTCGGCTTGCCGGTGCTAGCGGCGGCTATACTCGTGCGTGTCGTTTTTCTCCTTAGAGGTGCTCTCATGGCTTTCACATGTGCCCCTCTACGATCTCATGGGGAAACCCTAGGTCCGGTTCTCCGGATCGGATAACAACGGCATCGCGGTGGTATTTTCCTTCTTGAAGCCTCTATTTTCTCGCTTGCGGTGTCCCCGGTGTTGGTTTTCGTGATGTTGGATGTCTTGCTTGTTCGGTCTACCTCTCATGTTTGGGGCTCTATGGGTTTAGCTGTGAGTTGTATCTTTTGTTCGGGTCGAGCATCCCTTGCCTAAATGCTCTGGGCACCATGTTCACGTCTCCTTCCGTTCGTGCCATGTGTTGTACCCTTCTTGTACGCATTCTAATTCCTTCTATGGATGAAAGATAAGGAAGCTTTGCATATTCTACGAGAAGAATTGTCGCAGGTGCTGCTCCCAACATCTTGTCAGGTGAATTGTGATACTCAAATATCTATGGATGTAAATTTATTGTCCAATAACTCATGTGCGATCTTAAATATATGATGTAAAACATTGAAATCTGTCGAACATCTTAGCTAGGAAATTTACATGTTTCATGTTAAGCATAAGAGGTTTGATCTCC